GACGTCGATTTGATTGAGATAGAGAGTTCTGAAGTTTGGTGGGGACCCCCCAAACCAGTGGTTGATTTCCACGCAGGTCCGCGCGCTCGAGCCGGACCACGGCCTGGAGTCCTTCGTGACGCTCGTCGAGGACATGCTCGCCCGGAGGAGGTCGACTTCCGCATCGAGGGCCACAACCGGGAGCGGCTCGCGGCGATTTTAGAGCGGAGCGGCCGGTCCGCGCGGAGCGCCGTCGCGCGCGTGCGCCTGCCCCGGGTCCACTGGGCGCTCACGCGCGAGGGCGTCATGGTCCAGGACTTTGTGGCCCGCGCCGCGGCGCTCGGCGACCGCGCCGCCGTCGAGGCGCTCGGCGTGCCCTTCACGGTGGCCGTTTCGGAGCTGTCGCAGATCTTCGCGGAGTGCGTCTTCGTCCACGGCTACACGCACAACGACCTCCACGGCGGCAACGTGCTCGTCACCGCGCCGGAGCGGGGCTCCGGCGCCTCGCCCGGCGTCCGCGCGTGGCTCCGGCGCGGCTTCCTCGCCTTCGTCTACGGGTCGCTCGTCGTCGTCGCCGCCGCGGCGTCCGCGGCGGTCGCGGCGGTCGCGGCCGCGTGCTGGGCCGCGCCGCACCCGCTCCTGCGCACGGTGGCCCTCTCCGTCGCCGGCGGCGCTGTCCTGAGCCGCTTCGACCGGCACCGCGCGGCCGCCGTCGCCGCGGCGGTCGCGTCGCTCGGAATCGGCGAACACCGGTCGCTCGTGGCCTTCTTCGACGGGACCCTGTACCCGCCGGAGAAGTTCGACGTCGTCCTCATCGACCACGGCTTCCACACGGACGTGCCCGACGCCTTCCGCCTCACGTTCTGCAAGACCTGGGCCGCCGTGGGTTTGCGCGACGCGCTGTGTGGAAATCAACCAGTGGAACACCCTGTCCAGCAAAAACTTCAAACCTCTCTAGCTCGGTCAAATCGAAGTCGATTCGGCTGATTTTTGGACGGATCGACTGCTCTCGTCGAGTTCTCGAAGCACAGCGGAAGTGTTGGTGTCAAACCGTTCGATTACGCGCACATTGAAGTCAGCTTGAATATTTGATTTCCACACAGGCGACGCGAACCTCCTCGCGGAGGCGGCGTTCGAGCTGGGCCTCAGCGACGACCCGGCCTGCCTCGGCGACGGCGAGGTGCTGCCCCTCTTCCTCGCGCTGTTGCCCTTCGACGCCTGGGACGCGGGCCGCTTCCCGAGCCCGCTGGAGCTCGTCCGGTCGCTCCGCGACTCGGAGCGCGGGCTCCGGAAGCTGCGGGGCGCGACGGGCCGCATGCCCAAGATCATGCACGTGCTCATGCGCGCGAACCGCCAGCTCCTGAGCCTCTTCCAGCTGCAGTACGGCCTGAGCCCGCAGATGCGCTACGAGTTCATGAAGACGATGACGACGCACGCGCTCCTCGGGCTCCGGCGCGAGAACCCGCGCGACGCGCTGCCGGACCCCGCCGCGCTCCGCACGGCCGACGCGGCCTTCTTCGAGGCGGAGCTGCCCGGGGTCAAAGCGCGCGTGCGCCGCGACTTTTCCTGGCGGTTCCCGTCCCTCGCGGCGTCCGCGACGGCGGGCGAGGTGAAGCGCCTCGTGAACAAGGGCCTCAGGCGCATGGCCGCGGGCAAGTGGGACTTCAAGTTCGACGACGACGACGACGACTAAGGCGCGCGTACCTCTCTCTCGGGGGCACGGGCGCGCGCGGCCCCTCAGAAGGGGAACGGCCGCATGAGCGCGTCGAGGCCCGTCACGGAGCCGAAGGACGGCGGGCGGCTCGGCGCCGCCTTGCGCCGGAGGCCCGCGTCGCGGCCCGTGTGCGCGCGGACGAAGAGGATCGCCGCGTCGAGGACGCCGTCGACCGTGTTCGGCGACAGCATCTGGCTCGCGAGGACGTGGGGGTGCGCGTCGCTCGGGCAGGCGACCATGACCTTGGGCGGCGCGCTCGGGAGCGCGGCGCCGAGCGCCTCGAAGACGCGCGCCGCGCGGCCGAAGTCGATGACGGCGTCGCCGTGGTTCGCGACGAGGAACGTCGGCGCGCGCGCGCGCGACACGTCCAGACCCTCGAGGCCGTAGAGCACGTCCACCAAATGGAGCAGGGCCGGGTGCGGGTACGCGAGCGCGTTGTAGCGCGCGTGGTCCGGCGAGACCGCAGGCGACCGCTTCTCCCGGCCCATGAGCGCGGCGAGGAGCCACGCGCGGAGCGGCGGCGCTAGACCGAAGGGCACGAGGCGCAGGAACGTGAAGGGCTTCTTGAGGAAGGGGTAGAGCGGGTGGCCCAGGCCGTAGCAGGGGCTCACCAACACGAGCGCCGCGAGGCGGTCGCCCTCGGGCTCGTCGGCGACGCGCGCGGCGAGCCACGTCGCGAGGCCGCCGCCCGTGGACACGCCGACGACGACGACGCGGTCCCCGAGCGCCAGGCCCACGCGGAAGGCCTCGAGCGCGTCGAGGAAGAGGCGCCGCGGCGTCGCCTCCGCGAGGAGGATGTCGCCGCTCGGCGGGTCCGTCGCCGGCGCGGCGGCCCGGCGCCGGCCGTGGCCCGAGAGGCGGTGGCAGTAGAGGTTCGCGCCCAGGGCCCTGGCCAGCAGCTGGGGCGTCGGCGCGATCTCCTGGCGGCAGGCGCCCCAGCCGTGCACGTAGACGACGGCGAGCGCCGTCCGCGTCCGCCGGCCGGGCGCCGCCCAGGCGACCTCCCGCGCGGCGCCGTCGACGACGGCGCGCTTTTCCCGGATCTCGTCCTCGACGTCCGCGGCGGCGAGGGGGACCCGGAGCGCCCGCAGGTCCCGGGGCAGCACGGGGTCCCGCCAGTCGACCGTGGCGCGGTAGAGGCGCCGCAGGCGCGGGAGCAGGCGCCAGGCGACGTAGGACACGCCGGCGAGCGCGGCGGCGCGCCGCGCGCGCGGCCGGTCCAGCGCGAGCGCTTCAAGGCGCAAACGCAGTTGGCTGCCGAGCGTCGGCATCGTCAAAATTGCTCCGCCATCGAGAAGCAACCCCAGCCAGATCGTCAGTTCCGAGAGTCCGAGACCTACTAGAGCGAGCTACCCCAAACTAGAGTAATAAGGAATGTTGATGTCAACGTTACGGGAAAGTGCAGTGGCGGCGCCGATGCGAACGTCGCGCTAGTTAGCCACGTCCTCTAGTGCATATAAGTAGCTCGGACGTACCCCGTATGTTATCTCGGATTCCGGGAGTACTGACGGACGTAACTTTTTATTTCTGAGGTGTCTGACGGCGGCGCGCGGCGCCCCAGGCCGGCGAGAAAAATCACGGACGCCAGAGCAATGGTGGCCATTGAAATTAAAAATAACATGACGACAACGTGAAGCTATCCGAGCGCATTCGTCAGCTGCCGATGCTTCGTCAACTGGTTGGACATCCCGCGCTCCGCGAATATGCAGCGATGTGCAACGATCCCAGCAGCTTTGAGGTCCGCAAACATATGGACGAGGCACATGCGAAGACGCGACATCCGGACGATTGTGAGGCGATGCAAACGGACCGCTTCAGGGGGTGGGACGAGGCGCGGCAGCTTCCCCTGACCCGATTTTGAGTCAAATTCGAGCCACAGAGCGTCGGGAATCGTTCGTCATGAGGGCGATCAGATGCGTTCGCGGCAGCTTTCCGGCTCGAGTCGATTTGATCGAGATCACCTCATCGACTCCGAGAGGCGCGAGCGTCGCGAATGCCACGGCGCTGACCGCGGAACGCATGTTCCGAGCTGGCAGCGCAGTCCTTGCCGGGCCAGTCGAGAAGGACAATCGAGGGGATGTCACCTCCCACTCTCGCTGCCAGCTCGACCCCTGGTACGAGGTTGGCCCCCATCGACCGCCGTTCACCGTCAATGGCCGTTCTCATCATCCATGGGCTGCCCCGACGCGAGCTAAGTTGGTCGCCTTCGACCGATGGCGTTTCCCGAGCGATTCGCTGCGGGCCCCGAGGCGCGGCACGGTCCACAGATCGAGCGCAGCGCCAAATCTTAGCATCGCTGCATCGATGCACGAGCAGAAGCGTTGTGCAGGACGGCTGAACTCGCGGCTGACAACCGTTGGCCTTCATCGTGGCTTCATGTTATTTTTAATTTCAATGGCTGCTGTTGCTTTGGCGCTTGGGGGCATGCTCGCGCGCCCCGTGGCGCCGTTTCGCCGACGCGAGCTGTCCTAGATTAACCTTTGTGAGGGGGGACCGGCGTCCTCGGATGAGCTAAGTGAGTGCGTCACGATGCTCTCCTTTAATGCTCTAGTGCTCTAGGCGACGCGCTAGTGTAAAGAAACTAAGTCCCGTACATCAACTTGACGTTAAGGTACAGTCCGTAGTAGCAGGACAGGCACAGTGGATGAGAGGGGAAGCTCAGTGTGCTACCTTACGGCAGCGCAGTCATAAGATAGTAACTGATTATAAGACCACCGGCGAGACCGCACCGACACAGGCCCGCCCAATTTCCCCCCGCGCCAGGAGGGACAATGAAGTAGGCTTTGAAGGCTGTTGCCCCCGCACACGCGAGGCGGCCCGGGTGCTACTAGTAGTGACTCGACTATTCCGTTACTCGCCCGGCGGGCCGCGTGCTCTCTGACCCCGTGAAGACGAGGATGATCATCTCTCTTGTGGCGCCGTTCCTGTTGGACGTGTGGAAGATGCGCACTGCTCCAGCCGAGCGGCCCGGGTGCGCATCCATATCGTCGACGGCCGCGGCGAAGTCGAATCTGCCCGGCGGTAGGTAGTCGCGGCCGCCCATGGCCTTGGCGTTGCCGATGGAGGCGCCGTAGACGGTCCCGATGGACCGCGCCGACGCGAGGATGAGTTTCCCTTTCGCATCGACGTTGCCCATGGTGAACTCCAAGGGACGTAGCTCAGCGACGTGTCCCACTGGCAGTACGAGGTCGCCCGGGCCTAGCCCGGGCCGAGCGCATCGGCCAGGTCTAAGGCGCGCACCTAGCGCGCGGGGCCGAGGCAGCGCTGCATGCGCACGCAGAGCGCGCGCATCTTCTCGAAGTGGGCGTAGTCGTTCGCCGCGCGCCGCGACGGCGCCGCGGGCCGGAAGAAGACGTCCTTCGTGTCCTTGGCGAACTGGTACTCGATGAAGACGACCATGCCCTTGGACCGGAGGTAGTCGAGCAGCTCCGCCTCCTTGGCGAGGCGGTCCGGCGAGCCCGTGACGACCTCGACGCCGACGACGTCGACGGACACCTCGCCCCACGGGAACCCTTTGAGCGCGAGGAGCTCGCTGCCCTCCGTGTCCACGCTCATGTAGGACACGTGGCGCACGCGGAAGAGGTCGAAGAGCGTGCGCAGCGTGAAGCAGGGCACGATGAGCGTCTGGAAGGCCGCGGTCTTGGCGCGCGACTTGTCGTAGCTGTCGAGGCGGCCGCCCCAGCCCTTCTCGGCCGCCGCGAACTCGAGCTTCTGGTCGCTCTCGCAGACGCCGCCGTCGATGGCCGCGCTCAGGGGCCGGTCCGCGCCGATGGTCTTCTGCTCCGTCGGGCTCGCCTCGAGCAGCAGGCCCCGCCAGCCCAGCTTCTTTTCGAAGAAGTACGTGTTGCTGTCGTAGACGCCGCCCCGGGCGCCGAACTCGACGAAGAAGCCGCTGTCCGCCTGCGAGTCGTTGCGGAAGAGCTCCTCCCAGAGCACGCGGTCCTGGCCGCCCTCGCTCATCTGGTACTCCGCCTCGTTCGGCTCGAGCAGCGGGCGCGACGGGCCGCCGTTGACGCGGAAGCCGTGGGCGCTGTACTCGAACTGCGGCGCGGCCGGCGCCCGCGGACGCGTCGCGACGAGGACGACGACGACGAGCAGCGCCAGGGCCGCCGCGGCCTTGGTGCGCGCCGACACCGCCATCGCGGCTGCGTGCGACGAGATCGCGACGTCCGACGCGCTTTTGCACGGACAGCAACAACAAATCCAGGCTGCTGAAGCACTGCAATTGAACACTTGGTGAAGCTCCGCGGAGCTCCGCCACAGCCCACTGCCAAGTGCTGCGGCGTGCGCCGCAGTTGCGCCCGGCCACTGCGCCGGCTCGTGCGCCGCGGCCCGCGGCTTCCTCCGGCCATGACGCTGCCCTACGAGCGCATCGCCATCGCGCTGGACGTCGGCGAGGACTGGGCGGACCCCTGGGACGCGCGGCGGCCCGAGCGCGGGACGCGCGCGGCCGTCGTCGTGTCGGCGCTGCGCAACTACGTGTCGCGGAAGTCGCTCCTGTCGCCGCGGACGCGCTGGGCCCTCGTGGCGCTCGACGACGGCGCGGAGCCGCTGTTGTCGCCCGGGAGCGGCGGCGGCGCGGGCCTCATCGTCGCGGCGCTCGAGTCGCTCGCGGCGGCGCCGCCGCGGCGGGGCGGCTCGCCCCAGGCGCCCTTCCCGCTCGCCGCGCTCGCCGAGACCCTCGCGGGTGATGCCGTCTTCGGGTCGCGGCCGCCGGGCGCCGTCGACCGCTGCGTGCTCGTCTTCTCCCGGTCGCGCGCGGCGCCCGAGCCGCCGGCGGTCGGCGCGCTCTTCGACGACCCGGGCTTCTTCCTCGACGCGCTCTACGTCCACGCCAAGGCGTCGGAGGCGAACAAGGTGCAGGAGGTCTACGACGCTCTGACGGCGCTCGCGCCGCGGTCGCGGCCGCTCGCTTTTTTCTTCTTCGAGACGACGTCCTCGGCGCCGCGGCTCCACCAGCACCTCGCCGTCCTCCTCGCGCACCCGCAGCTCCGCGACGACCAGGAGGCCGTCGCCGCGAAGCTGAGCCGGCCCCTATGCGACGACGGCGACGACCGGTCCGAGGTCGTCATGTCCGCCGCCTGCTAACCTTGTCTTGTGCCGCGAGTCGGGGGCATCGAGGCGGGGCGGCGGCGTGGACGACGTCGCTTTGGAGGAGCCTCGGGTGTCGCGCGTCAACGCTGGGTTCATCGAAGTGTTCAACTTCCTTTTTAACGATGACGATGGACGCGACCTAGGGGCAGCGCCGCAGCGCGCGGGCGGCTTCGCGACCGTAGCGTCGACGGCCGACCGCAGCGTCGACGACCGATGTGGCCGCGCGTCGCCGCGCTGCTCCTGGCGGCCGCCGACGCCCGGGTCTGCTGCCCCTGCTGCGGCGCCTGGGAGTCGGAGGCGGCCATGCGCTACGTTCGCCTGTCGGACACCGACGTCGCCTGGGCGCCGCGGGGCGGCGACACCTGCGCCTTCCCGCCCGTCACCGCGGCGCGGCTCTGCGCGGCCGTCGGCGCCAACGGCACGCTCTCGATAATCGGCGATTCGCTCGCGGTCAGCCAGCTCCACGCGCTCGCCCGGAGCGCTACGGACATCCCCCTCGGCCCCCGCGACGACGGCTTCGACGTCCCCTGCGGCAACTCGGCGCTGCGCGTGCGCATGGTTCGCGCGAACATGCTCCAGGCCGACTCGGGCTGGGTGAGCGCCGCGTGCGGCAGCGACGTCGTCTTCCTCAACAGCGGCGCGCACTGGGGCCGCCACGAGGCCCGCGTGCGCAACTACCGGCCGTCCCTCGAGCGCGCTTTAGCCGACCTCGACGCGGCCTGCGGCGGCGACTTCCGCGACGGCCGGCGACAACTGCTCTTCCGGTCGACGCCCGAGGGCAACCCATTCTGCCACGCGGGCCTCGACTTTGCGACGACGGCGGCCTGGGAGGCGACGGTCGGCTGCGTCCTCGACGGCCGCTGCGACCCGGGGAACTTTACCAAAACGCCCGTCGTCTTCGACGTCGCCTGGGGCTGGCGCCACTTCTCGCGCCTCGACGCGGACGCGCGCGGCGCCGTGGAGTCGTCGGGCCTCGGCAGCTTCCACGACGTCACGCCCCTGACGCGCCTGCGGCCGCGGCGCGGCGCGCCGGACCGCCAGCGGCCCGGGGACTGCCTCCACGACGACCCGGCGACGGGCGACTGGAACGCGATGCTCGTCAACGCGCTCCTCGACCCCTGCGCGTAATTGTATGTACGAGGCGCGCCTACCAGGGCCGCGTGTTCTCGTGCCGGGGCCGCGCGGGGGCCGCGATCGGCGCGAGCGGCGCGCGCGCTTTCGCGAATGGAGCTTTCGCGGGGCCGTGGATGGAGCTCGACGTCGCGTACATGTCGGAGACGTCCGCCGTGTTCCAGGGCGTCGTCGCCGCCGCGATCGAGGGCCGCGGCCCGCGGCACTTGGACAGCTCGAGCCTCGGCACGAGCGGCGGCTTGGTCGCCGGCGGCGCCGCGTTCTCCTGGTCGGGCGGCGGCGCGCCGCGGCGCCGGCGGCGCGCCGGGTCGCGCGACCGGCGCCGCGGCGCGCGCGCGGGCTCGCCGCCGAGCTTCGCGGGCTCGAAGACGCCGCGGCGCGCGGGCTCGCCGCCGAGCTTCGCGGGCTCGAAGACGCCGCGGCGCTCGGGCCGCGGGAAGCTCGCGGGCGCGGCGATGCCGCCGCGGCCTCCGGCGCCGCGGCCGGGCGCCTCCGCCGCGCCGCCGCGGTCGCGCGGCACGGGCTCGCGCGCGGCGCCGCGGCCGGGCAGCGCCTCCAGCGCGCCGCTGCGCCGCCGGGGCTCGGGCAGCGCCTGCGGCGTCGGGCGCTGGTGGTCCATGGGCGCGAGGCGCCGCTGCTTCTCCGGCGCCGTCCAGGTCCGCTGGTCCAAGGGCGCGCGCCGCGGCAGCGACGCGCTCTGCGTGCGGGAGAACATCGCGGACCGCGTGTGCCAGACGGGGCAGCGCTGCGAAGGACGAACCGGCGAAAATACAACCGTCGACTCATCTACGGAAACTTGATAAGTTCACTAAAAACCTCCGTGTGCCCTCTCGGACCCATCCCGCGAAGCCCGACCGAGGCTCGAGCCTTGGCTGCCGCCCCTCGCCCGCGCGCCGCCCCGCGCCCGCCGACCCGCCGGTTCCGCTGCCCATGCTGCCCATGGACGCCGACTTCGACGACGCCGCCTCCGTCGCCACCGTCGTCGGCGGCGACGCCCGCGCCGCGCCGGACGCCGCCGGGGCGCCCCCGCCCCCCGCGGCGGCGCCGCCGCCGGGCGACCCGGCGGTCGCCGAGGCCGTGCTCTGCGCGGAGCTGGAGTCCACGACCGGCGCGCTCCGCGCCCTCGCCGCCGAGGAGGAGCGCCTCCACGCGGTCACGCGCGACCTCTTCGCGAATCCACTCGCGGACGTCGACGCGCTGCCGCCGCCGCCGGCGGCGGCGCTCGTCGTCGACGGCGACCCGCCCGCCGGCGAGGTGCGCAGCGTCGTGGCGCGCGGCGTCCCCGGGGCGTCGGACCGCGCGCGCCGCGCCGCGCGCGCGCGCGCGCCGGCCCCGCCGCGCCGCGCCGCGCGCGCGGCCGCGTCCTCCCCGCGCGCTCGACCCGCGCGCCGGCGCAGGCGGTGAGCGACGTCGCGACGCCCCGGCTCGCGACGCTGCTCTGCGACCTCAAGGCCGCGGCCCTGCGCGGCGTCGACTTCGACGACGCGGCCGTCGTCGGCGGGCTCCCCGTCGACGAGCTCGTCGCCGCGCTCCGGGGCTGCGCGGGCGTGCGCGTGGCCTACGACGTGCCGCGCGGGGGCGGCGCCGCCCGTCTTCGCGTTTTTTCTTCGGAGGTACGCGCGCCGCCCGCAGGCGCGCGCCGCCGGCCTACCGGAAGCCGACGCCGCGCCGCGAGCCGGAGCGGGCGCCGCCCGCGCCGACGAGCCTCGCCGAGGCCCTCGCGTCCGACCACTGGACGCTCCTCGAGAAGTGGACCTTCGAGCACGCGGACAAGCCGCGCGTCCCGCCGCGTCGGGGGGCTTCGGGGGGCTTCGGGCCGACGCGCGCGCGGGGGCCCGCTTCGCCGCCGCCGACGCACGCCGTGCGGGTCCGCTTTGCCGCCGCCGCCGACGCGCGCCCCGCGCCGCGCCAGGTACCCGTCGCCGGAGACGAAGGACAGCCTCGCGCGCGACTCGCGGCTCTCGCTGAAGCAGGTCCAGCACTGGTTCTCGAACATGCGCAAGCGCAAGTACCTGAAGCTGGGAACGGGCGCGGGCAAGCGCGCGCCCAAGGACGCCTTCGAGGCCCAGCTCCTGGCGCTCATGCCCGCGGCGCTCGCCGCGGCGGCCGCGCCGGTCGTCGCGCCGCGCGCGAGCTCGGAACCGGCCGCGGCCGCGGCCGCGGCCGCGGCGCCGCCGGCGGGCGCGCCGGTGCCCCCGCCGCCGGACGACGACGAGGCGACCATCGCCGACGACGCGGACCTGAGGGACGTGTCCTTCGAGCTGTGAGCTCGGCTCGCGCGGGCGTCGCGGCGCGGTCGCATCGCTCCGCCGCGACTCCATCGCGCCTCGCTCGCCGACCCTTCCCTCCGTGCGCGGCGCGACTGGCGCTTCGCTTGATCCCCCCGATAAGTCGCCGCGGCTCGAGCTGAGAGAAAAATTGGCGATTGTTGCACCGGTTGAAGGGAAGTGAGCACGCGCAGCGCGCGTTCAAGCGGCTGACAAGGACCAAAAACGCATCTCTTCGCAAAACACACCCACCGCGCGCCGCCGCGTCCGGTGCAAGTTGCACGCGCCGTTGCGCCCGCAACCCGCCCCCCTCGCCTCCCACGACGCTCGCTACCCCGCGCGCCATTGCGTTCGCCGCGCGGCGCGCGTCGCGTTGCAACTTTCGGTCACCCGCGCGCCGTCGCAGGCACAACACACCATGGCCCGCCTCGCCCTCGCCCTCGCCGCCACCGCCGCCACCACCTCGGCCCTCGTCGCGCCCACGGCCAAGAAGACCGTGTCGGCCACGGCTCTCAACTACGACCCGCGCGCGCCCGGCGCCCGAAAGCTCCGACTCAGCGCCGCGGCCCGACGCCGCGCCGCTCGCAGGTCCGACTTCTCCGACGTCCAGGCGCTCCCGGGCATCCTCGACCCCGTCGGCTTCTTCGTGCCGACGCCGCGTCCCGCCGCGGCAAGCTTCCCATTCCCCGACCGCGCGCTTTCCGTAGGACCCGGCGAACCTCGCGGCGGACGCCTACGGAGAGCGAGCTCAAGCGCTACCGCGAGGCCGAGCTCACGCACGGCCGCGTGGCCATGCTCGCGTCCGTGGGCTTCCTCGTCGGCGAGTCCGGCGCGACGCCCCTCTTCGGCGGCAACATCGACGGCATCGCCATCAACCAGTTCTGGAAGGTGCCCACGGGCTTCTGGCCCGTGATCCTCCTCTTCATCGCGGTGCCCGAGACGTTCCGCGCGCTCCGCGGCTGGATGGAGCCCACGGTCCCCGAGAACTACTTCGTGCTCCGCGCGGGCTACACGCCCGGCGACATCGACTTCGACCCCCTCGGCCTCTGCCCCGAGGACCCGGAGGAGTTCAAGATCATGCAGACGAAGGAGCTCCAGCACGGCCGCCTCGCGATGCTCGCGGCCGCGGGCATGATCGTCCAGGAGCTCCAGACGGGCAACACGCTCTTCTAGGCGCCGCGCGCCCGCGCCGCCGGATCGGATCCGGCGGCCGCCCCCTCCCCTTCGTACCAAGTAACCTGCGCCTCGCCCGAGTGCACGCGCGCGCCGGCGCGCCGCCACGGTACGGGGCGTCGGCCGGTGAGCGGGCGGGTCGGCGTCGCCCGGCTGACGGCGGCTTCCACGTCGGCAGTTGCGAAAGCCGCCTCGGCGGCGAACTTCTTGAAGTCGACGCGCAGGACGGGCGAGCGATCGCGGCGCGCCTCGGCCACGGAAACGCCGAGAACAAGCGGCGCGACGAGGGATGCGAGATCTCATTCACTTGAAGGACAACATGACAGCGCTTCAACCTGCTGACTTTCCTTGACAAGGGAGCAGTGCCACGGCCGGGCTGCCGCATTCCTGAGTTGGCCGACAAGCTCAGACCAAAGCAAAACACACACCTCACACCGCCTCCCACGCAACCATGGCCCGCCTCGCCTTCGCCCTCGCCGCCACGTGCGCCTCGACGTCCGCCCTCGTGGCGCCGACCGCCGCCAAGGCCTCGAGCTCCCTGCACGTCGCGACGTCCTACGACCCCTCCGACTTCAGCGACGTCACGGCCTTGCCCGGGATTCTCGCGCCCGTCGAGTTCTTCGACCCCCTGAACTTCGCGGCGGACGCCTCGGAGAGCGAGCTCAAACGCTACCGCGAGGCCGAGCTCACGCACGGCCGCGTGGCCATGCTCGCGTCCGTCGGCTTCCTCGTCGGCGAGTCCGGCGCGACGCCCCTCTTCGGCGGCAACATCGACGGCATCGCCATCAACCAGTTCTGGAAGGTGCCCACGGGCTTCTGGCCCGTGATCCTCCTCTTCATCGCCGTGCCGGAGACGTTCCGCGCGCTCCGCGGCTGGATGGAGCCGACCGTGCCCGAGAACTACTTCCAGCTCCGCTCCGGCTACACGCCCGGCGACATCGACTTCGACCCCCTCGGCCTCTGCCCCGCGGACGCCATGGAGTTCAAGGAGATGCAGACCAAGGAGCTCCAGCACGGCCGCCTCGCGATGCTCGCGGCCGCGGGCATGATCGTCCAGGAGCTCCAGACGGGCAACACGCTCTTCTGAGCGCGCGCCGCCCGGCGCCTCCGCAGTAACATAGTCCCGCCCGAAGCACGTCGTCGGGGAGCGGTCGTGATTGCGCGGATCGCGGGCGTTGGTGGGGAGGCGCGTCGGGCGCCGCGAACAGACGTTGAAGTAGCGCGTGCTGAAGGGCCACCTCATGAGCTCACCTGGTCGACTCAGCCCGTGAAAACACCCCCCCACTCCGCCTCGCACCACCGCGCGCCGCCGCGTCTCGTGCACTTTGCGGCCAATGCGCCCGCAACCCGCCCCCCTCGCCTCCCGGTGCCCCTGGCACCGCGTGCGCAACGTGGCGCGCGCGGCGGCGCGCGTCCTCGTCGCGACTCGGCGCATGGCCCGCGCGCGCCACGCAAGCGCCCATTGCACGCCCGTTGCACCGCGCGCGCACCGCCACCGCCCCTCCCGCGCGCGCGCCCATGACCGTCACAACTCATAGGCAATCCACCATGGCCCGCCTCGCCTTCGCCCTCGCCGCCACGTGCGCCTCGACGTCCGCCCTCGTGGCGCCGACGGCCGCCAAGGCGTCCACGTCCCTCAACGTCGCCACGACGTCCTACGACCCGTCGGACTTCAGCGACGTCACGAAGCTCCCGGGCATCCTCGCGCCCGTCGAGTTCTTCGACCCCCTGAACTTCGCGGCGGACGCGTCCGAGTCGGAGCTCAAGCGCTACCGCGAGGCCGAGCTCACGCACGGCCGCGTCGCCATGCTCGCGTCCGTGGGCTTCCTCGTCGGCGAGTCCGGCGCGACGCCCCTCTTCGGCGGCAACATCGACGGCATCGCCATCAACCAGTTCTGGAAGGTGCCCACGGGCTTCTGGCCCGTGATCCTCCTCTTCATCGCCGTGCCGGAGACGTTCCGCGCGCTCCGCGGCTGGATGGAGCCGACCGTGCCCGAGAACTACTTCCAGCTCCGCTCCGGCTACACGCCCGGCGACATCGACTTCGACCCCCTCGGCCTCTGCCCCGCGGACGCCATGGAGTTCAAGGAGATGCAGACCAAGGAGCTCCAGCACGGCCGCCTCGCGATGCTCGCGGCCGCGGGCATGATCGTCCAGGAGCTCCAGACGGGCAGCACGCTCTTCTAGGCGCGCGCGCGCCCGCCCGCCCCGAGGCGCCGCCGAGGGAGAACCTCCGGCGGCCACCTCTCCCCCCCTGTTCTAAGTAAATGCGTCCGACTGAAATTAGTCTGAACTTGAAAAGTTGAATCCTCTACAAAGGTCGAGGTCAACATCGGCCGCAACGAACGTCGAGAATCCGCGAGGCCTTCCGCGCGCACTCGCGCGGCTCGTCGAGCCGCGCACCCGAGGGACGCCGCGCCGTCGAGAAGCGCCGAGCGCTCGACGGCGCGCGCGCGGCGCCGGACCTCGCCGGGCCGCGCGCCCCCGGGACCGCCGGGCGGAACTCGGCACAGACTTCGGGACCTTACTTACCAGCTGCTCGTCTTGTGGACGTAGGCGTCGGGCGGGATGCCCATGGTCGCGTAGTAGGCGTCGAGGCGGCCGCCCGTGAGCGCGAGGCCCGGCGCGGCCTTCTTCTTCGCCCGCGACCGCGCGGCCGCGGCGGCGCGGGCCTTTTCGCCCGCGGCGGCCTCGCGCGCGGCGGCGGCCTCGGCGACGACCTTGCGGAGCCACTTGGGGTCGTTCGTCGCCGCGCCCGCGGCGACGCGGTCCTTGCCGAGCGCGTGCATGAGGAGGGCCGTGGCCTTGCGCTTCTCCGCGCGGCAGCGGCCGAGCTTGCGCCGCAGCGCCGCGAGGTCGTCGACGGCGGCGCCGCTGGCGCCGGCGTAGCCCATGCCGAGCAGCGCCTCGCGCTCGCGGCCGGCGCGCTGCGCCGCGGCGAGCCGCGCGCGCGCGTCCGCGACGGCCTCGAGGAGCGCCTGGGCAGCACAAGGGTGATTCAACGTCGCTTCAACGTGAGTGTCCCGCGCGCGCGCGTTACGGAAAACACGTCGATGGTTCGAGACCGTTCAGAGAGATGATCGCTCGTCCAAAAATCAGCCGAAACGAGTGGAAAACGGCCGAGATATGAGCCTTTGAAGTTGGGAATTTCGCTCTCTTGTGCTGCCCTGAGGAGCGCGTCGCGTC